AAAAAAAAAAAAAAAAAAAAGCAGCAAGCTTAAAACAGTCCCCTAAGGCTGTTTATTCCAAAATTTCCCGCTCCCACACTCCAGCTCTGCAGGAGACAAGCTGCAATGAGGTGGCACCACCTAGTGCCACCTCTCCGATACGACAGGGCTGCGCAGCAACAAGTACCTGAACGCGGCAGGGGGGGTGGTGAAAATTCACTTTATCTACAAGCAAGCAAGGCAAATTCAACCCCAGCGCCCTTCAGGAAGTCATGTACTATCCTTTTTGATGCTCTGATGAGCGCTGGGGAGGAGTACAATATTCAGTAAACTGGCATGAAAACGTAAGATGGATTTTTTTAAAAAAATTAAAAATTAAGGGATGAGTTGTAAAATAAAAAAAATATATTGCCTGCCCTGGATTTCAAGCCACGAGCATCCAACGGGCCGAAGTAGGGATGAAAACTGCAGGAGGGGAACTGCTCACCTCGGCAGCTTGCTGCTGGAACGGCTCATTTCCCATCCCTGGCTGCAGTGCCGGGACGACGGGAGCGCCGGGACTGCAGATTCCGGGCGTGGGGGGGCTCCGAAACAGGCACGTGCTCTTCCTGGAGGTGAAACGCAGCACAGAGCCCGCATACTGCGCGGCCACGCTGCTCTCCCTCTGCGCCTGCCGGGACACAGACCCCAGAGCTCAAAAGCCATGTGTAAATAAATCTCTAACCATCACCTAGCAGGACATCACGCACACTGCGCGGAAGGCGCTGGCTTCATTTGGTGGCGTTTCTTGGTATTGACATTTTTGTTTTCCACATGGAGGGGGGCACAAAGAGCCCCCTCAGGCTCTCAGGGGCATCCACGGGCGTTCATGGAGCAGCACTAATAGAGTTAGATGAACACAGCCCCACTCCAACATGCCTCCCGAGCCCTGGAAACGGCCCAAACACCCCAGAGGTGGCCAAACCCGTTGACATTTCCCTGCATTCCCTTCTTGCTTCCCAGTCGGTTTCTGGCAAGTCTCCCTGGCAGTTGTTTAAAAGCAGAAAGGATTCAATATATTCACAGGATAACCTAAAACAAGTCCCCAGGGCTGGGAATGTGGAGACAGGGTGGAAGTGTTGCTGGTGAACTATTTGACTGCCCTGGAAAAGGGGTGGCAGAAATAAGCTGCTTTGCTGCAGATGCAACCAGGAGATAGCCACACCACTCACAACTCTGGCCTAGCTATTTTATTTTAACTTAACAGAATTTTAACAATTCTGCTCGGAGCACTGGGACTCTGTTCTGCTGCTGCCCAAAGAGCCAGTGACCTTTCCATGGGGACACAAAGGGCTTAAAGCCCCAGAGCGAGCCAAGGTGTCACGCTGACCCCGCTTGAGGGGACACCATTTGCAGCCACCAGGCCTGGCATGACCACGAGCTTCCCTGCTTTTTCTTATCAACATCTCAAGGTCTAGTGGGTTGTTTGTGGTTTGGTTTTTGTTTTTTGGGGGTTTTTTTAACTCATTTATGCAGGTCTCTCCTGCAAGACCCCTGGCGAGGCAAGGACAGGGATCTGCTTACCGCTTCGTAGGACTTCTGCAGCTGCTGCTTCCTTCGCATCCTGACCTGCTGGTTCACCCGCTGCCTCACCTCTCCCTGGAAGCGTCTCAGGCTGGCCGCCTTCTCCCGTTGCTGCTCCCTCAGCTCCTTCTCCACCTGAAATGCTGAAGCCTGCAAGAGGTAGAAGCAGATTTCAATGATTTTTTTTTTTTTTTCGCTACATCACAGCATTACAGCAGCTTGCATTCCATGCTGCCTTCCCACATCTGCATCTGCAAGCCAGGCAAACAGCACCCAGAGCAAACTTAATGTTTTGTTTCTAAATTTGTGCCATAACAGCTTGGACAATGTTGACTGAATTATGAGCTTGGATTGACTCTAGCTGCCAGATACGGAGTGCACACACCTCCTCCTCGAACTCTCTGCAACACACACAGAAAAGGGGGGGGAAAAAAAAAAAAAAAGGCGGCAGCTCCATACAGCAACTCCCAGCTCCTGCTCCCATGAAAGGATGCTCAAGTATTCAAAGCCTAGATCCGAAAAGAACATGCTGGCCTCTGATCCCATTAATGCTCTGCAAGAGCAAGGCTAGAGGTGTATGAGGGAAGCAGTTTGCAGAGCACAGCACAGGCAGGGCTACAGCTCCGAGAAGGTTTTTACCATCTGAAGTAAAAAGTTTAAAAGCAATGACCTAAAAAAGAAACTTTTTTTTTTTTTAAGGTTCTCGCTTGAAGTCACGCCAAGCAATTCTGCTGATACTACCACGGTTTAAAGAAAACTGGTATCGCCTTCCCGGCTGTCACCGCAGCACAGCCTAAAGCAAGAAAAAAATCAGTTTGAAGGGATGGAGGAAAGGGGCAAGTCTGAAAATCAACTTAGCAAACACTAGGTCGAATGCTCCCTACACCCTGCTGACTGCAGGAACGTTACCAGCAGCAAAGCAAGGTCAGCAACCAAACAAAACGTGAAGACAGGGAGAAATCTGCGCTGTTAATGATGAAACCCAGCCAGAGCTACAGAAAACAGCGCCGCCGCCAGCTCGCTCCGCTCCCCCTTGGCAACCTCATTAGCAATTCTGATGCAGCAGGCATTCATATATATTTTTTAATATGATCTGCTAGGGTAAAAAAGTATATTAAATAAGTTCTGATATCCCTGTGCACTTTTATCCACACCTGAAGGCACCTAAAAGCTCCTGTGCTGGGAGGAGGACTGGGAGTGCCTAGGGCCCCCCCGAAGCAGTCAGGAAGAGTTCGGCTCCCCGAGAAGTTTCATGGTGCCAAGGTGGAAGTTATGTGGAATATGGAGATGATTCATTTCCATATATTATCTCAACCTTTCAGGATTTAAATTACAATATGGAAATAAATCATCTCAGAAGGGCAGAAGCTTCTGTAACGTTTAGACGTTAATTACAGGGGACTGAACTCATCATCCTATATTTAATGCACTTTTAGTCCTCTTATAATAACCCTCAAAGCAGAAATCCCTGAGATAAGCATCGATAAAGATTTTCTTAAGTGTTTCTAATGGGGTACAGCAAAGATTGGCTCCAGACCCTGAAACATTCAACTTTTTTTTTTTTAAAAAAAAATAAGCAACATGGAATAAAATCTTGGCTCACCCACATCCTTTATGGATGAACGGGAAGGCAAAGATATGGGGGTGACCAGTCAGCTGGGTACAGCATGGGCACCTCAAATGCAAAGCTACGGGGTGGAGCTCCAAACCCTGCACTCATAAACCAAGGAGCAGCCAGGAATGGTGAGAAAAGAACCTCACACGGTGGGGCACAAACCTAGTAAGTTTTCGCTGCACTACCTACACTGGAGGGGAACTTCTAGAAAGCAACGTGTTGCAAATCAAAAAGCCTAGTCAAAATTAAAAGCACCCAGTAAAAATAATTAAGCAATCAACAGCAGCTGATTAGAGTGCTGGCTGGATTCCTCACTGGACCGGTGTTTAAAACCGATGGGTTTCTCCTACAAAAACACAGCTTATTTGAGGGAAATCAATTCCAGGCTCGTATAAAAGGGCCACCAAGCCCCATGGTCACCACAGTGGCTTTTGACCCTACTAAAAAAATAATTAAATTTATTTTTAGGAGCAGCGCTCCCGGCTGCCTTCAAACAGAGATAGATCTCGTTACCAGCTCCAGTTGCCCCCGTGAGTTTTACTGGCAGGACCGGAGGGGTTGGGGACACCCCGACAAGACCCGCCAGCCCAGAGCAGCACTCACGAAGGCCAGGCTCTCCTCTGGCTGGCCCGGGCCACTCTCCACCCAGATGCCCACAGGGGCCACGCTCTGGCTCCTCTGGGCCAGCACCCGCCAGCTCTGCTGCAGGGGTCTTGCTTGACGGCCCCCCGGGCTGTCTCTTATA